AAATGGTTTTGATTTGCTGATACCTTCTTGTGGCCTCCTGTAGCCTCGTAGCCTACACTGACAAGGTATCAGCATGAGAATCAGCAGAAATGAGAAACACCCTGCTTCCAGGGCCAGGAGGATCCTGACACTCCTTTCCACAGTGTCAGTGAGGAAATAGCAGGAGCTCTTTATAATATTGACTAGGAAACACCTGAGAAGTACCACCTAACAGCACCATCCTTCCACATCTGCATCCGTCAACCACAGCTAGACAAACCACACTTTTATACAATGGAAGTAACTTCCCTCAGTGCAAGGTGATTAAAAGACTGTGATATACAAGATTGAAAACTTGCTAATCTAAGAAATATACACAAGAAAACAACAAGATAGCTCTTTGTATTGTTTTTTCTTGACACAACACTTTAACATTGACATTATACTTGTTTTAGCTGCTTATGTGTGGAGCTAGCAGGATGCTTTTTCATCTGATGTAATTAAAATATTTTCCTTTCTCAGTTTTATGCCTTCAAATGCCTTTATGTCTTCGCTTCTCTAAATAAATCCCACACTTCTCAAAATGAATCTCACTCGTTGCTCACTGTTAAAAAAGATTTAAGTAACTAGTTACTCTACTTATCAAATGCCTTTATTTGGTCAAGTCTAATTCATGTGTTATTGCCACTTTCCTTTTTTTTTGTAGTCTTTTTTTTTTTTTAAAAAAGATTCAAGTAGTGCTTTAAACCAAGAGCTCCAAAATGCCTGAAGAGATCAGAAATAGTTTTTATATTGTAAATGTCTTAATCTCTTGATAATGTGTCTTTTCATTAATGGCATATCCTGAAGAGTCTGACTTTGTTGACAAGAACATTTTTTGCTAGTTTGGCATGTAAAGAGTGGGCATTCAGGGGCAGAGATTTGAGTGACACAGATTCCCACCCTCACCTCTGAGGAAGTCTCCTCTGATACCTGCTTAGCGATATCACTTTAGAGCAGTTGTGAAGCCTTCTTTTAGACTGTAGCTCAAGGCTGAATATTATTACTTAAGATCATGGCTGCAGAATCTGCAACCAGAGTGTTCCAATGTTTGTGCCTGGCACAAACATAGATCATGCTTTGTAAATCTGAGGTTATTTTTGCTGAACATGACAACTGACTGCTTGGCATTAGCTGGAGGGGTGAGGAGCTGGCTTCTGCCTCCAGTCAGTGACACTTAGTTCAGGTCCCACCTAGAGCCCCCTCTCTTGGCTCTCTGTTGGCTGTTTACCAGGTATGTGTGAGTGCAGTTTGGTGAGGATGAGCATTTTCTACTTTGTGGAGGTGCTTTAGAACACATCCGAGCAAGGCAGGAACCCACTCTAAGCTAGAAAGCAAGAAGTGCTTCTAAATAACTTGGGAATTTTTGGAAAATCTTACCTTAGGTTTTGCAGATTAGGAAAGTCTCCTTCCAAAGCTCAGTGTATTTAGTTACTCTGAAAACACAGAGCCGAAGCTTCAAAAGCAAAGAGACGATGGAAGGGCTCCAGCACTTTCTGATCCTAGTGTGGGCCAGCAGTCATGTGCTTCAGCAGAGTAATGGTTCTCACAGGGACAAAAGCACCTCTGTGTGAACTCCCTCAAAAACACTTCCCTGCACAACTTCTACCCTCATATTCATGCCTGCAGCCTCCTTGACATGAGGTATTGCATGGAGATAACTTAGAATTTGGTTGGTAGTGTGAGTGCTTGGGAGATTATAAGGAGGATAAAGTGGGCTTTACTCATTTCCTCTGATTTAACATTAAATGTATCAGCATTGCTTTCATTTACTATTCCTTAAATTGGTAAAATATGGGCTTTCATTGTAAGAAAGATTTACATCTTAGCAATGAAAAAAGTGATATAAAGCAGAGTTCAAATAGCCTTTTATTTTGTGAGAGGCCACCTTTGAAACTAGTTGGATGACTACTTTGGAAGAGAGCACAGATTTCTGCGTGTAGTATAGATTTGGCCCCTGTTCCACAGGGAGCATGGAGGCAGAAAACTTTATTGCTGTGAACTCTCTTGTCTGCCCATCTGTGCTCCCCAGGCATGTGCAGTGAGGAGGACATGGGCACACAAACACACTACTGCCAAATGAACTGAGCATGAACTTACACCAGATCAGCTTTCTGATAACTGATTTAATGACCCTTTCCAGGTTGTAGAAGACATTTTGCCTTTGATCTTGTTTTTTTTTTTTTTTTTTTGTAGAAGACATTTTGCCTTTGACCCTCAAAACATTCTTTGTGTGCCTTTGATCCTGCTTGTGACAAGTAACTGCCCCAGTCTCACAGAAAGGACGGCATCTACTACCTCATGACCAAGCTATTTACTCTGTACTGGTTTAAAGGCTTTCTCTCATGTTGTATATTTTCAAGGTGGGGAATGTGTCTGCTATTATTTCTTAATTCACTTCATTTTTTAGTTCCTCAGTTTTCTCTTACACTTTCTAACTTCTCTATTTTTTTCCCTTCTGTTTGCTTATCTGCCTTTTCTTCTTTTCAGCCTGTTTTCCACTATTATAAGGGTTATTTTCTTCCACCTTTCTCCTCTACTGCCTTCTCTCCCATTTCTTTCTTTGCTCTCAGTTTTCTTCTTTCTGTCTAGCTCTTTCTGCTCATCAATCATAGAATCATAGAATAGTTAGGGCTGGAAAGAACCTTAAGATCATCTACTTCCAACATTACAACAGCATGGAGCAGGTAGCTAAAACAAGACCAGCTGAGTTACATCCTGGTAAGAGCACATGCTGCTCAGGAAAGAACGCAGAACGTGGGGCAGAGATGCCTTGAGACTATTTTGGTTTTGAGCACATGATACAAGTAGGGAGGGAGAGATTTTTCACTAGTCTTGCTCAGTTTAAACACCCATGCACAGATGGGAAAGTGTTAGACTGCCATGGGCATTGGTGCAGCTGAGAAAGGTGGTAGCAAGAGGACGAGCTTTGCATGCCTGGTGGAAGGAAATCAGAGAGGAGACACAGAGATGCAATGAACGGCAGCAAGCCGAGGAGAAATTTTGGAAAGGAATACAGAACTCTGTGCTGCTCATGTCAGGCTCAGCGTGATGAGTCTTTTATATATGGAAGGAACCAAATGCTGAGTATGTCCCTGCTATTGGTTACATTTTCCAGGAGAAGGCACCCTGGCTTGCTCCTCACCACGGTTCTGCTGCGGCCTCTCAGGTGGGACTTGCAGCGGGCACCCACTGAGCACATAGAAGTGCTGGGGGCAGTGTGTGTGAGGTCTAGCAAAAGGCTGCAATGGAAGGAAAACCCACAGAGGTGGCGCTGGGGGATGAGTTAAAGGACAGTGTTAAAGGAGTCATTTGCCAGTGTAAGGCTTTTCTAAATTAGCATCAGCATCAACAGCAGTTGTGACAGGCACCTCTGGCTGCGGCTGTTTCTGGGTGTCCACAAGCCATCAGGACTGTGACACAGTTTGAGCATTGCTGGTGGTACGTTGTGTTCATTTAGAACCCCCTGCTATGACTTTCTTTTTCCTTTCCTATATCAATGATGTGGAAAAGTCTGTAATACCTCAGGATGAAAAAGAGAGGCAAATTGAGGTGTATTTGGTGCTTGATATTGTTACTTGGTGTGGGAAGGCAGCAAGGGATGCAAGACTTGGCTTGTAGCCTCCACTAAGCAGAATGGAGCAGCACAAGGGGGCCACCGGAGAGAGGCCACTGAAGATGCTGTAATCCAGGGAGGGTTTTAGAGTGTGTAAGGAAGAGTCTGTGTATATGCAGAGGTCTGCAATACAATGGTATGTTTAGGCTAACCTCATGTTGCTAAGGAGCCCTATGCATGTTTGGTGTTGGCTCCCGTTACCTTTTCTCATTTGGCCTCTTCCTCCCAGTGAAGTCCATCTGTTTGGCCATGAATTCCGTGACTTTTGGCTCCGATGGACGTGGCCCATCGTGAAACCCTAGAGTATGCCTTTCCCAGCCTTGATGAGGCTCTGTGTTCAGCACCCCAGCACCGCTGAGTGCCTCCAGCTGCTTCTCGACAAGCAACTCATGCATGAGTCAGATCACTTCATGGGTTCTGCCCCACGGGCCATCCTGCCCGGTGAGCAGCTGGCCCAGCACTCCATAGGCAGGGAAACATCTCTGGCTGCTGTGAAGTTATTGCTCTCCTGTAAAGAGCTTTTAGAGACTGCTAGAACAGCACCAGCATGTGGGGCTCTGGGTAGGTGTGCCTGAGGGTCTGCTTTGTGCTGGCTTCCTGGTAGTATGTCTCTGGCTGGTTAAAAGGGGAATAAATCCACACCTCATGCTGCCAAACTCGGTCTTTGTAAGCAATGGGGAAAGTTAGATACTTGCCTTTCCATCTGGGGCTAACTTATGCTTTCTAAAGAGGGTGCCTTAAGACACTGATCCACAAAAGCATCACTCTTCCTCCCTTGTCTCTCCCAGTTCTATCTCCAGTTCAGGTACTCCCATGTTCCCAGTTACTCCTATCTCTTTCACAATCTTTTCCTTTCACCATTCCTCCACTTTTGCATTCAGACCATGGAATTGGTTTCTGCTGTTTGTGTCCCAGTCAACCCCTCTCCCCAGGACCCCTAAAACTGCATCCTGCTGTTGTGGTCTGGAGTCTCCCAGCTGCTGTTAGCACCCAGGAACAGCTGCTGCAGATCCTGCACCTCCTCCTCAGCCCTGAAGCACGCTCAGGGAGGACTGGTTGCAGTGCTCATAGGCAGCTCTATCTGAGCGGGTCTCCTCAGCCTCTCAGACAGCCCTGCTTCCCTTCATTACACAAGGGTTAACATAGTTAACTGCCTAAAGTTCAGATGAGATCAACCATCTTCACAGCCTGCAAATCTTGGCCAAGGGGTTTAAAAAGAGCTAAACTTCTGATTAAGCTGCAAGAAGGCCTTACGATGAAAATTGTCAGGCAATATGGTATATGTACAGCACAGCTACTGGCTTAGTCTGCAGTAACTCAGTGTAATGATTTACGGAAACCTATGGATGAGGCTCAGAAAAGTGAATGTGTTCCTCATTTGATTTGATGGTTTATTTTATTCCCTTCAGGGGATATGAGCTCATAGGATGTCACAGCAATGGGTCTGTGATTTTCATGAGGTAGAGATGCTTTTGAGGTTGTTACCTCTTCCTGGCACAGCAAGTTTTTGTGGACATGCCATAGAATGTGTAATGCTGCAGTGTGTTTAGCTGAAGTCACGGACAGAAAATAGGAAGCGCTGGGTTATCATCGTACCATGCCATAGCCTGTCATCCAGGGTGAGGGAGTTTGGTTAGTCAGAAGCTGCACAGACGGCTTTAAAATATTGCAGTAAGAGTTTAATTTGGAACAATTCTGAGCACTATTCCTGGATTTCTGTGTAACTGGAAATCCTGGCTCCAAGCTTCATATGTCAGCCAAGAAGATGTAAAAAGAGCATTGGACACATTGGCTCTTTAGGCAGCATTTAGAAACCATGGTTATAATGTTACCCTTTCCAGATAAGTAAAAATGCTTCTTCACATGATTGTATGCCATCTCTTTATGTTAGAGAAGGAAGAAACTTGCTGTGAGCAGCTCAAAGATAAACTTTCAACTCAGTTTTCTGAAGTTCCTACAGTCCCATTTCCCGAGTGGTTGTTGTGACATCCAAATAAGCAAGTTTTCTCCAGCACGTGTAGTTCTGGCTGGAAACAGACAAAGAGCAAATGCAGCCTGACTTCACCCACACTGCTGCAAGATTAATTGAGCTAGACATGCCAGCTCAGGAAACTAATTTTTGTTTGGACAGCTTCAATATTGGTAGGGATGATTTTGCTTTGCTCAGCAAAATGACCATCTCTACTGTTTAGAGTTGTTACAGAAGTGTATCAGACCTAAAGAGAGATAATGTTCTCCATACCAGGCTAGCAGCTTGGTGACAGGGGACGCGACACAGTGTATTCAGACAAGCCATTACATAAGGTTGGGCAGGTTTTGGCTCCTAGCAAAACTTACCTTTTCCTAGGGAGGTGTTCAGAGAAAGTAGATGCTGTTTCTCCCTGGTGTATTCTGCACTGTGATTCTAGTCTTCAGAACTGGGTAGGCTTAGGTAAACCTGAACAAAACCAGGGTCTAGAAAGGGATGAGAATTAACAACATTTGTTGAGATCTTCCATGTTTCTACACCCTGAGCCAAAACTCGCCACAGCAGAGGTAGCTGCAGGTTAGACAGTTCCCCCAGAGTTTTGGGGATCCAATTCAGAACTACAGCCTGAAGAGAAACTTGGGGTTTGAATCTGAATCAGTGGTCTCCCTTGCATCTCACAGGCAAAATACTTTTAGTTTGGTTTTGCCTCAGTGTCTGTGCAGCTGGCATTCTGGAAGACCACATATGAAGCAAATCAAGCTAGTCAAATTAATCATCGTGCCATCTTTTGTTGTCGATTTCTCTGTAATCACAGGAGAGCAGTGATCATGTTTCATGTACTTGTCTTCTGAAAGTTTCCCAGAATGCAGGTAAGAGTGTTTTATACTGTATACATGGTATTGTTTGGCAACAGCCTCAGGAGATCACTTTCCAGGCGTATGTCTTTGGTCTGCCTCAGAGGTCTGTCATGTGGGTCCTATGGATTTTGTCTCTGTTCTCCTCAGTTACTTAAAGCTTTCTTGTCAGGACCTTGGAGGAGGAAACAAGCAACAGGAAACCCTTGGGACATGATGATTCAGAGAAAAGTAGTTCCCTGCTGTTTACCTCCTGCTTGAGTCTCTGACATACATGCCCACACCTCCTGCCATGCACGCTGTCTCTGGACCTCAACCCCACACACTGCCCGGCCACTCTTCTCCTTCCCACCAGTCAGAGCTCTCACCTGCTTCTCACCTACCAGCTTCCCATCACCTGCTGAAGAGACTGAGTGTTCCCTCAAAATTGCTATGCTTTTTTGAGCCTAGTTTCCTTATTTTGATTCTGCTACATCCTTTGCGAGAAAAGCCTCCACACACATGGCAAAGATAGTTTTTTTCCTCCCACATGACAGCTGTTCCCCATCTCCTTTGAGAATCACAGATCCACCTGCACCTTCTGACTCTGATCACATCAGATCTCCCTCTCACAGCTCTGTCCAAAACCAAGTCTGTTGGGCTGTGAAGGACCAAGAGGGACACTAGAGCATCATCTAATCCTTCTGCATGCTGAAATGGTTCAGGCTCTGTTTGACTATCAGTAGCAGTCCTCCTATGTGTCATTAGACACCCAGTGTTGGTCATTAAACCATGTATTAACATTAATTTGACTTCAAGCTAATCTACAGTGTTGAAAGAAAATGTGATTTAATCATTACTGTAAGTTTTTAACCACAGAATATTATGCATCATTTTGAAATGCCTGGCTGTGAATGTTACCTTAACGTTTTTTTGAGTCTGTAGTATAATAGTGTTGGATGTTCCTCATCTTCCCTTTCCATGGGCACTCAGAGAAATCAAAGCCAACACGTCTCTGCAAAGTTTAGATGATTTTTCTGTTAACTTTTTGTGTCAACTCTATAGTACACTTACTTAAACTATATAGTACACTTACAGTAAGACCAAGCTGAGTTATTTTTTCATGTGTTCCTAGGCACAGCATGCTTTCTTTGTTCTTCAGTCTGTGCCAAAAATGATGAGGGTCACATGGCTCAGGCAGGTCCTGTCTCATCCCTGCTTTGCTTCAGTCTTGGAGCCTTGGGATTTCTTATCAAACATATGTCTAACATCTGGCAGTTGGGGGACATGTTCCTGCAGGGAGGTGCAGCTGAGCACACGCTCCTCTGCTCCTACTCCCAGCTGATGGTGAGCGCTGGCTGTGTTCTGGAAGCTGGCCAGCCACATGAGCGCAGCACTGTGCCCAAGGCCATATCTCACCTCCAGAGCAGCCAAAACACAGCAAAATCTGGGATCCTGGTCTGCTTCCAGCTCCCTGCCCTAGAAGCAAATTGCTTAGACTGGCAGAGTGAAGGATCAAAGAAGTAGGTTCCCCACCTGCCTCTTCCCCACTGTGCAAACACACACAGGTTCACACAGCTCTCATGCATACCTGCTGCTTTTCTCAGTTTTACACTTAAAGCACTGGGTTACTTAGATTCACCTGCACAGGGAATGCAGGGATCAGACAATGCTGTTTGTGCTGTGCATTTCCTTAACTGAGAGCCCTGGAAGAGCAGGAGCTGATTGTACAGAGGGGCACTGCCTTCCCTGGGAGGCTGCACAGGCAGGCTAAGCCTACCAGGGTGCACACAAGTGCTGCTGAAGAGGGGAAATTCAGTGCCTCCACAACACATACACTGAATTTTCTTAAGGTGACAAAACAATCCTACACCTCTGCAGCACCTTTTGTCTCTAAATAAAGATCTCCAGTGTATGTATGGCACTCATTGCTGCAGACCCTATGCACCTGTGGTAATTCTTTTGTTTTACCCTGCTGCTACGAAGCAAAAGGGCATGCATTCCCCTTTTTCTCAGGGTCACAAGAAGGCAGCGATCTGCCTGAGTCCATGGAGGGCAGTGGCAATGGAGCAGTGAGGAATCATCTTCTTGTCAGTCCCAAGCTGGTGGATTTGGGAAAACTAAAAATGAGAAAAGAGAAAACTGATTTAACAGGGTGCAAAGAGTTGACAGAGAAAAAGAAAAGCACCTTGCTGTTGGGACTGCAGGTATGCCTGACAAAATGCAGGTAGGCAGCACAACGTGTATGGATGTGTGACACAGAAACCCAGGAGGAAGGGCTCACATATCTCCTGCTTACTCACACGTCGCGTGCTTTCTCTTCTTTAAGTCCCCTTCCTTCCACTCTCATGCATTTGAGCATGTGGATCTGCATTTCAAGTCTGTGCAGCTATGCAGGCAAAAACAGAGCTGTGATACTCGAAGGCTCTCTGATAGGCCCTGGTGTGGAGCCCTGAGCCAGAGGCAGGGCTGGATGCCCACGTAGGGTTGGTGACAAAAGCCACATTCTGTGCTGCTCCTGCCTCTGATGTCCATGTTCCCTATGAGGTGGCAGAGGATCTCTTGTGGTTATAAGGTTTTGGCAGGACGGCCTTCAGCTGTCAGCAGAATGCTGTGCCAGCATACTCTTGAGAGTAGTATCCTGCAGCAATGCGCTGACTTCCCTCTCATACCACAAACATCCTCTCCTAGAACTGAGTCACACTATCCAGCACCTTAAATTGTATTTGTTTTAGCAAAGCCCTACAGGATGCTCTTTTGCTGGGGGGTCAAGATGTTCCCGATCCCTTTGATTCAAGGCATACCAAGATATCTGTGGTGGGGAAGTGATGTATCTCCAGGATGCTGGCCCTGCTCCTGCAGAGCTTCCTGGCTCTGCAGGATGGGAGGACAGGCAGCTTGTCAGAAGGGCTACAGCTCCCACATGGATGTGGTGGAGTTACTAACCTCTTTGAATTGACAATTTGCTCTTTGTTTTGTATGTTTTCCAGATGTCACCTGCTGGCTGCAAGGGGAAGGGAAAAATTAATGTGAAGAAACTATTTCAGCAATCTGCCTGAAAAGCCAGGTGCCTCTCACTTTGAGCACCTTGAACCATTTCTAAATTAAAACTTCAGTAGAAAGGCACCTGGGGTTTTGCCATGGGCAGCTGTAAAAGAGCAAGCAGCAATGAAGGTGTCTTGGGAAGGACTGGTTTTCCTCTGGCAGAAACCAAAGCCAGCTGCTCCCCTCTCTGACCATCAGCTACCTGCAAAATCGAACTCTCATTTTGGCAGGGAGTGCTTCCCTGAGCCCAGCCCTGCCCTCATCTGTGGCTGCAGTCAGGTAGGGGAGGCCACTGAGCTCTCATCTTTTGTCCTTGCTTTTGTCTCATGCTAAGATGGGCCTGGTTTCATATTGAGCAGGTGTAATGTGGTACAAACTGCCCATCATGTTTGGGGTGGCAGGATGCTGACCTCTGCATCTGAACCACCTCTGGATTAAGCCCTTTAGAGAAAGCAGTGGCTGCTGGTTCATCCCTGCAGGGGGACAAACTTGTAGATGGCAGATGTGACATTTGAGCTCGCTTAATCACAACATCTTAGACCCTGTCTGTATAAATTCTGTCTTGAATTTGACATGTCTCCTTTCCCCCAAGCCAAACCACTTTTGCCATTTCAAAGAACTCCTTGTTGATGAAACAGAATGAGGAAAATGCAATATATTTTATTATACTCTTAGCATAATAAGCTTTTTATGGGGACATAGCAGATAAAAGGCTTCTTGAGTAGAAAGAAGAAAGTAGAAAGGGAGATCATTAACATTAAATAAAAACATACCTTTAAGAAAAACTGGAGCCTTTAGAGAACATACTAAAAATATGTCTGTGTAACGTGAAATAAAGTCATAATTTTCCATATTTACACACACTAAAACAGAGCTAAATGATTGCACCTCATCTTGGTGAGTCTCTTTTTAGGAAGGTGAGTCTCATGTTGCTTGATGAGAGGTTGCTAAGCACTCTCTTATATTGACTGGTTATGTAAATAAGGATGTAAAATAGCCCCTTTCTCACCATTGCCTAAAGAAACAGATCTTGGACCCTGGCAACTATAAATTAATCCCACTGCTTCCTGGAAGTCTCTCAGACTGATGGGATTTTTTTTATTTTGAGTAAGGAATTATGCTATTTGGAGAGAAGAGAAGAAAAGAATATCCTTGAGTGCTTGGCTCCCTTCTTGGTGTGCATGGAGTGCAGGGAATCAAGGCAGGTTTAGGTATTTCTGAGTGAACGCAAAAAATATTGAAGGGGGTGTTTCCCCCCTAGGATTAAGCCACACACCAACACTCACTTCCATCCTGTCCCCAGGCACTACTGCATTAGACAGTCTTACAGTGATGCATGAGTTTCAGAGACAAGTAATTGTAAATATGAGCTAGAAAGTCTGTTTTTCTGTTTCTCTGGTTACCTCTTTGAGAAGTACTTGATGAAGCCAATTAAATTTTTTCAAAGGGGAAAAAAAAAAGTCTCTTTTTCTCAGTGGAAATCAGTCCTTTTCTTGAAATCACAGTGTTCAGCTCTTCCAGAGAAACAGCCGTATGAAAACTGCAGCCTTAGTTTGTCTTTTGAACTTCAGCAGACAAGGTCTTTTTCTGCTTTTGCCCTTTCTCTCCATCCTGTCCCTGAATTTTGTTTTTCCTTGCCAAAGAGAGAAAGAAAAGGTGGGGATAAACAGCAAAATGAAAACCACTCTGAAAATGAAAAGTTACAAGTACATAAACTGGTTTTGTTAAGCCAGAGTGCACATTTATTAGTGATCCATAGACTTCAATAAACAAACAATGAGAATGATCCTCCATGGACAGACAGACAGACCTTTTCTGAAACCACACAAAGAAAAAACATTGAAAAATTCACTATTTCAGATGATACGTTTCGCTCATTCTTTGTTTGATCTCATAGCTCTCAAAATCATCATTCCTTGATAGCTGGCACTGCTGCCGAGGTGTTTGGCATAGGCAGTACATAGTGTGATGAATCACAGGCATGTAATTATGGTTTATTATATGGTCTGACATGGCAAGTTTGTCTCATCATTTCTTACAGGAGGGTAGATGAAATCCTGCTGCCGTCTCATCACAAAGGTGTCAGTAATGAGGGCAGCGTCCAGCTCTTGTACAAGGTGGCAGCCCAGAGCTCGTGCCACACAGCTGCCTCCCCATCAACAATACCTTCACAGTACCTACCAGTGGCAGCCGTTCCCTACTCACTGTAAGCTCCATAGTACAGGAAACAGTGTGTGTCTCCTGTGAGAAGGGCTTGCAACAAGTGGATTCTTCCCTCATCCTTCACTATAGCCCTCTCCATTTAAGCCATTGCATGATACCAAACAGTGGTATTCCCATCACAACTCTGTAGGTCCCTGCCTGTCCTTCTAACCGCTGTGGACACCATGTCTGTGACATCACAGAAGCTGACAGGGCAGGGTGACTTCAGGGAACCTGATCTTTTATTCAGAGGAAAAGACTGCCAAAGTAAGGCTTGATAACATGGAAGAGCCAATTGCAGTTTGGACTGTGCCTCAATGCACGTTTCTCCGTGCAGGTTTGCTGCCATAGCCAATTCTTACCTCACACATCTGATCAAGACAATTACATAATTACTGAGGGTTTGGCTGTAAAACTTGTGCACAACCAGCCCAGTTTCACAAACTGAGCAGCTGCTGCTACTAAACCTACTAAACTCATCGCATGTATGACTGCTTTCAGACTCAGACCTAGACTGTGACTGACTTTGTACAAATACCCTGAGAAAAATATCACAGCCCTTGGCAGTTAACCTTTTATTTCAGCTCAACAAATATCTCCTCTCAGCACACTTCAGATTTGCAAACATTGATTCCCATCCTCCTGACAGCAATGAATAATCAGGCAGGCTGCTCTGCTCCTGCCCTTCCTCCTTGGCAAAACAGACTTCAAGCACAACACTCAAGGAAAGGGCACAGATCATTTAGTGATTTCTTTATCAACCCGTGATGAATTTTTCCTGCAAAACCAAAGCTGCATTACATGCTATTTTGTCAGGTATTCAGGAAGCCCGTTATCCCAGTGGAACAAATGCAGTCTGACCCACTACGTTTTCCTGGAGATTTTTGAAATTTTTGAAAACTGAAAAAAAAGAATAAAGGGGGTGAAGTTTAATAAATTCAGTATTGTGGCTTTTGTACTTTCTCTGGGATTTATTTATTTTGCAGTCAATTTGTATTCACTCTGCTCCTTTACACAAGATGCTTAAGGACATTTTGTAATTCAACATAGCATAATGCCCTGTTTCCTCTTCGCAGAGGTAATGAACTGCAGATGGCTATGCTGAGGGATGCTTGCTATCTATGGGAGGGAAGTGATGCCAGGAGCTGGTACTGCCATGCCGTCTCTGCACCGTGCAGAGACTAGGGCTTTCTCCCCATGTTTTAATGGGTTTCGCTTTCATTTTCCCTTCTGTAAGCACACGTCATCCATATCTTCCTAACTTTTGCTGACCTCTTGGTACTTCCTCCTCAGCTCAAGTGGGTCTGGAAAAAATTTTCTGAGTCATGAAGGTCAGCCCTCTCATCTACAACCACCATATAACTGTGTCCAAGCCCTTACCCATGTCCATCCAGGAAGCAGGGAGACTTCCTGTCCTTGCTGCACTATTAAGCACAGAGTGCCTTAATAGTGAGGAACGGGCTCATGACTTCCAAAGTAAGGGCAGTTATGGCTAGATTATAGTCATTTGGGCTTTGTACTTGGCTCAAGCTGCTTTTTTCCCTCTGTGCTGTTTACTGTTGCATTTACAAAAGACTGTCATGTCTGTTCTCAGCCTTGGCTTTCTTTTGGTTGAAAAGCCAGACTTGTTGAGTCTGGTGTCTTAAGATGGCCTCCCCAGTGATTCTGTGATCAACACCTGCTTTGTGTTCACATAATCTTTTTCTTCACCACGAACATGCCCAAGGAAAATGGTGCACAGCAACCCTGTGACAGCTCCTCAGGGCTGCCCATGCCCAGTGGTCACTACTGTTTGCCTGGGCTTTTTTGAAATCCCTCTTCTGCACTGTCCTGTGCCTGCCTTTCCCCCTCTTATTCCTGGTTTGGCTTTGGAAGCTGTGTGGCAAGAGCCAGGTCAGAGCTCTAGGTCACCATGCAACCTGTACACACAGGTCTTCTTCCACACAGCTGGCAGAATTCCTGATGATTGCAAAAGCTTGGGTGCCTTGCCCCCTGTACATGAGCTTGGACTTTGTAAATTATTCAATTTCATTTTGTTTCATTAGCCTGGCCCTCCAGGTCATTGGGTTTGACCTGTACGTCCTCATGAGCCTTTTCTATGCTGATGATGCCCCCAGCTTTTCTACATCAATAAATACTATTGGATGTTCCCATTTCCTCTGAAATGGATGTTTCCATTCCTCTGAATTAAAACTTAGCCTAGATCCTGAGAAACCTGTCCCAGTTCTTTGGATTTCTTTGCAGGAGAATCTTTTGTCA